ACATGTGTCAACCAGGTCAGCGAGCCTGACCACCCGAATCCGTTAGTCGCTCCTTGCGACAAGCATGGGTTACTGAAGACAAATTCTACCCCGGATCTTCACGGACTTTCAGAAATACTGGTGGAAATTGTACCGATAAGATAGTTTGTATAATTGGTCTTCAGGAATCGAACAGGGGTCTTCGAAAAGATTAACCAAAGCGTTAAATCACCAAAGCGAGTGAATAATGTTTTACGTCGCTCTGAGCGATGTTGAAACAATCGCGTCATTGACGTGGGGTGAAGAGCGGTACGGTTTAATGGTGAAGTGGGATGGAGGAGGTGTTGGCTTGGTAAGGAATGAGAATGTTAGGGGTTGTATCGGGTAGAAACATATGAACTGTTAAAGGGGACTACACACCAAGTTTTATTGGTATTCAGTCTTAATCAAGACATTTGTTTTTAGTTCATCGTGTCTGATTGCGCCATTATCTCAAGACTATTACTAATCAGTAACGTTCACGCGAATCTGTACCACATGATTTGCATTCTCCCAACGTGATGTTTAAAAGGCTTGAATGAAACTGGCGGTGCCAATTTCCCCGAGAGTAGACCCTCTTTAAGCATTCCCCGACGTGTAATTTCCGTTGTTTATCGACCTTGAACCAGGATAGACAATCACCTATGTGGAATGTCAAGATACTAATGTACTAATGTAGTGCTATAGTTTGCCCCTAGTTTAATAGCCCGCATTCCTTGCATGGTCAGTGTATAGACCATTCTTTCTCTACATCAGTAACATGACCTTCCATTAAGGGACAGACACGAGCGTAGACAAGAGGTATTTCTTAACTGATTTGGTCTCGGTCATACAGACTGACCACTGGATGTGATTTACTAATTAATGATAATACAATAATAAGTCCATTTGTACAGCGCCCTATAACCAATCACCAAGTGGTTGCTCATGGCGCTGACATGTATATATATACTGATTGGTCTTAACGTGTTAATGTAGGTACACAGGTAGGAGACTTATGAAATGTTTTCATTGGTTTGTCTGGTCCAGACTGAATACATTTCATGCCGCCGTCAATACCATTATACTGCCCGGTATTAAAATAGCAAACAATAGGGCGACATTTTCGTTTTAAGAGTTCATACAGATTCCAGGTGATTGAGTTATTTAAGTGATTTAAGTGATTTTGCGCGAGCGAGTGAGTGCGTTAATGAGTGAGTGAGTGACTGACTGACTTACTATGTGAGTGAGTGAGTGAGTGAGTGAGGTTTACCGTTACTTGGAACGTTATGACGAATCTTCCAGTGTCAGAATGGTTCTTTTGTGTGTTTAGTCACGCCACACACATCACAACGGTGGGTAAATAGTCGTCTGGATAAGACGATCCAGTGATTTAACATAACATGTGATATATCTGGGACTACACCTCTCAGATAATTGTATCCAATCAAGTGATTGACATCATGATCATCGGTCTAAGCGATGGCACATGATGGCACGCACCAACCACGCCAACAAGCGTGACCACCGTCAGATGCTTTTTAGAAGCAGTGGTTGTTGAAGACCAACTCTAACATGGATCTTCACGGGTCTGTTCGCAGTGATCAGATATAGCTTGATAAAGGTCATTCATTTAACACCAGTCATTGAATGTATTGTATTCTGATGTCGATAAGTAGTAATTGAACCTGATGACGCGGCTCCTAGAGCTGTGGAGCCAGGGAAGCATGTAACGGGCGGTTGATTAGCCCAATTGAAAAGGCGTACGCTCATCACACAGCTGTCACGGTTTCGGTTCCCCATATGTGTTGAACGTGTGAAACCCAGTTCTGGTGTTTAAAATGGTAATATTCTGAGACCCGTAATGATCCTTGATACAATTGGTCTTCAGCGACCCTAGCTTACTCACACACCCGACCCGTGAAGTTCCGGGTTGGAATGGATTTTCAGCAACCCTAGCTTGTCGTAAGAGGCGACTAAAGGGATTTGGTGGTTAGGCTTGCTGACTTGGTTGACACATGTCATCGTATCCCAACTGTGTAGATGGATGCTCATGTTGTCAGTCACTGGATTGTCTGGTCCAGACTCGATTATTTACAGACAGCCGTCATATAGCTGGAATATTGCTGAGTGCGGCGTTAAACAACAAACAAATATGTAACATAACTGTGCCAGTGAAGAGGCGTAAAACAACAATCGCCCGTTCACACCGCATGTTGTGAATGTTGCTGGAGATTTTACGAGTGCTTCATCCCATTGCGTTTTTTCGGACGCTTCACCGAATATCAGATCGTGGTCATGTCTTCATTCGCATTATTATCAGGCATCAAAATATCATGGAGAAACGATCAACTTTTCATTTTATCGCTCAACACGAATACCTAACTTCAGTTTCAGACCTATCGAACGTTTTCACAGCAATATACACAGTGAAGCACTGCTTTCTGTATAATTTCCCATGTGAAAAATGTTAAGAAATCTTATCCTGTCTGAAGCTTCACATAAAACAGATTTGTTTCTGTTTACACAATCACGTTTACACACACACCCATATCGGTTACTTATTTAGTACTTACTGAATATGTATAGACATAATTTCTGTGAGGGTGGCCCAGTCGTCAAAGCCACAGCGATTTGCGATGCACAGTTACACAGTTCATGATTGCTTGTGATGTATGGCATGAGGGGCAGTGGGGTAGCCTAGTGGTTAAAGCTTCCGCTCGTCACGGTGAACACCCCAGTTCGATTGCAATATGGATATACTGTGTGAAGTGACGCCTCGGTGTTCCCCGCCGTGATATTGCTGTAATATCGCTAAAAGCGGAGTAAAACCCATCTCACAATTCTTGGAGCAACTCCAGAACACTCAGGCACTTTCACCAGGCCGTCATCACCAGAAATGGGCTTCACACAGTGTGCCCTTAAGGGGAATCAAACCCTCATCTTCGGCGTGACGAGCGAACGCTTTACCCGCAAGGCTACCCAACCGCCTCTAACGCTGTTCTGAATAGTATCATCGTTACATTACGGTGTGGCAGCTAAATGCGTGAGAAAAGCCAGTTTGAAATCCTCGAGCACGTGTTTGGTGCTGACAAACCAAAAACATAATCAAGACGAACTGGGATTCGAACCCACGATTATAACTCTGCACAGTGACATGTTCCGCCTAAGACGACTGGACACCGACCCTTCAAATCCTCGAGCATGGGTGTGACAGACCAAGAACTACAATGGTAGTGGATTTCGAATTCCACTCCACGGTCAGCAGATCCTAAAAGGAAAACGGAGGTAACTGTGGTTATCTGCATGAAGGTCTTGATTCCATAGCTTATTTTGAAGATAGCTAAATGTAGTGACCTGTTTACAATCAGGTCCTCCAACCTGCATCATTGAGGCCTTTGTTCGCTATTGTACAGCACAGTATGTGAAACCCAGTTCTGGGCCTAGATTTTCGAAGCTCTCTTAGCGCTAAGATAGTCGTAAGTGCCATACATTAACATTAACTTACGACTATCTTAGCGCTAAGAGAGCTTCGAAAATGTAGGCCCTGGTGTCTCCTGTCGTAATAGTTCTGAGACCCGTGACGATTCGGGTTAAACCCTGTCTTCAGGGATCAGGTGGTCAGGCTCACTGACTCGGTTGACACATGTCATCGTATCCCAATTGCGCAGATCGATGCTCATGCTGTTGATCACTGGATTGTCTGGTCCAGACTCGATTGTTTTCAGACCGCCGCCATATAGCTGGAATATTTCTGAATGCGGCGTTAAACAACCAACCAACCTACCAACCAACACATTCGGAAGACTATTATGAACATTTGAGCTTATATTTTGGGGAAAAACGATTATTGTATTTTTGCCATCTATGCTATCGCTTATCTTAAGAAAGGCAGCTGTAAATACCGTTGCCACTGATGAATCATTGTTACCAAACGTGCAGCACTCCTGGTAGGCAATGAACAATAAATCCTCTTTCTTAGGCAAAGTTCAAGCTTTACGCCGGAGTATTGTGTAAGGATTTCAACACTCTGTACCCGGGCGGGCAAACGAACTTTAATCCACGTCACTGCTAGAGCTAATCGTTATTAATCGTTCTACTGACAATCGTCTTATCAGGAGGCCGTCAGCGCTACACAAGTAGTGCTCTACACACTCAAGATAGATATCATTGGCCGACACCCTAAAGAGACCAAATAACGTTGTTGTCATCGGGTAACGATATAACCTTATTTCCTTATCTCGCAGTGGATGTTTATGTGGAATAGTTTTGTTTGTGTGGGGTCTTTTAAAGCCAGAATTTTAAATAATCAAATGATTATTTCTTTTCTCCATGTATTTCTTGTACTAAAAGAAATACTATAAAATAATAGTCATTTGTATATCCAATTTTTACACTACAACAGTAAATATCCATGTCCTTAAAATATATTACTTACTTCTAAATTCAGTTTAACAGTAAATGACCCATGTTATTACAATATCAATTTTCTACTCAGGAAACGGAAAAGATCTCCATTAACCGTCAATATTTTTGCACGGGCAATTATATAGTGTACACACACACGCACAAACACACACACACACACACACGCACACACGCACCAAAACAAACCAAACAACAAAACCAAACAAAAACCAAAAACAGCAAAACAACTCAGAACAACTACAAACAAAACAAAAAAAACAAAGATTATAAAAAGAACAAAAACAAAACAAACAAAAACAAACAAACAAACACAACACAAACGCACGCTCACACAAACACACACACACTCCCACTCGTCTGTATAGTGTATACGTGTTGAGACACTCCTCCACAACACACACACACACACACACACACACACGTCACGTAGAGGAAGTATTCTATGATCCTGCATTACGTGTCGGGACACTCCTCCACACAACACACCGAGAGGTTTAACGTAATTGAGCTTAACCTTATCCAAGATTGTTAGGTATCGCTTTACGACTCCCCACTATAATCTGCCACTGCTTCAATGACGACAGACAAAACACATAGCTTGCCAAGCTGGCCTGCTGGTAAACACTCCACAGAAGGCAGATATTGCTGGAATGAGAGAGTACACTGACATGGGAGACAAATGGTCACACTCAGAATTAAGATCTGAAAGTGTGTGTTGAAGTTTCAAACTGTCAGCAGGTTCAAAGGCTGAGGGTTTTCCACCTAAAGTGTCGACATGTTTCTTATCAGGTGAAAATGATCACATCAAAGTGTGTATCCCAGCTACTCGTGAACACCTCTTGGAGTCGTACCAATGAAGAAAATACGTGTACAGGTGAACATAGACCAGAAAACTTATACCAGACATTGTCAACAGCTGGGGCCATGTTAAACCTTGCACTGGACCTATGGATGAGTTGGAAACAATGATATACACGCTCATGTGAAAGTTGGGAACTATCGTTACATCTATACGTTCCTCCATCATGGGATGTGGCGCTTCCACTCAAGTTGGGGCGAGTTTCCAGGTGAGTCAACTTTTATTCCTGCTCTCTCCACTGCAGTGGTCAGTTCCGAATACCGTGATCTGATATTGATGTCAAAGCACTTTGAATTTCAAGAGATGAATTACGGGTGATGATTATGTTTGTCTGTTGTTTAACGCCGCCCTTAGCAATATTCCAGCTATATGACGGTAAGTAAAGAATCAAGTCTGGACCAGACAATTCAGTGATTGATATCATCTGCATCGATCTACGCAACTGGAACACAATATGTGTCAACCAAGTCAGCGAGCCTGACCTCCCGATCCTGTCTGTCGCCTCTTACGACGAGCATGGGTTGCTGAAGACCAATTCTAACCCGGATCTTCACGGATCAGATGGAACATGAATAGATCGATGTGATAGATTCATATGTGAGAGATTGCATGTTGATTTACGTCCCCAGTCAGTTTTAACATATATTTTTTCGGCAACTGCTTGAAGACATACAATTTGTGTCTATGAAGACAGAACCATTTGACATATCCTCCGGAGTTATATAGTGAGTGAGTGAGTTAGGTTTTACGCCGCTTTTAGCAATATTCCAGCAATATCACGGCGGGGGACACCAGAAATGGGCTTCACGCATTGTACCTATGTGGGGAATCGAACCCGGGTCTTCAGCGCGACGAGCGGACGCTTTAACCACTAGGCTACCCCACCGCCCCCTCGGAGTTATATAGCTGAAATATTGCTGAAAGCCCAACTCACTTACTCAGTTCAAAGGAGGAGCTCGATTTAGCCTTCTTGCACAGCGCATTTCATTTTAGAGAGCGTCCCAGCAAACAATTTGTTTAAACCTGGCAGAAGCTTATTTTTTACAGGGTCTACCTGATCAAATTACGTTTTAGAACATAAACGACAAAGCCAGAATTGAATTCGATTATCGACCGAGACAGATTACATGGGACGCAAATGTCAAAACTGCAGAGAATTATATGAAACGATATGAGAGATAACGCCATGTGTTCACAATAAATTAAATGAATTCAGTCCCCAAACCCCGCTATCTCACCCTTATATCTTCAGTGATATAACATGTTGAGGGGTGCGTTATGCCCTATTACTATTGTGTACTGTGTTACTACTCTGGCTGAAATCGGCTTTTAGAACAACGGGGCCTAATAGTACCTGGAACTATGCTAGTTAAGTACGACTAATGATAAGTAGATTGAGGAAATCGGGTTACAGTCAAAATGGTCCTGTGACAATTTGGAGAAAATGGTTCCATTTACTAACTGTTATTTTGTTTGGGTCACGGTTACTTTGGGTTTGTGTTTTTTTTATTTTTTTATTATCATTATTATTAAAAATATTTTGGGGGTATGTGTTTTATGTGTTAGTGTGGTGAGGTGCGAGTTTGAGTGTGTCTGTTTATTATTTGTGCATGTGACGTGTTGTGTTGTGTGTGTGAGAGAGAGAGAGAGAGAGAGAGAGAGAGAGAGAGAGAGAGAGAGAGAGAGAGAGAGAGAGAGAGAGAGAGAGAGAGAGAGAGAGAGAGAGAGAGAGAGAGAGAGAGAGAGAGAGACTAATGCCGTCTTCACAGTGTTAGCCCTCTGACATACCACGCCATGCGACTATATACCATAGCTACCCTATTCAGACAAAGTAGTCTGTCTCTGAGCCGACAATCCTAGTTTAATCCCGTTAAAGCGGAGCCCCAGGCAGGTGCAACAAAAAAACACCATTTTCAAAACAATGAATCTCAATGAACACAATTTCGATAAGACCATATAAAATATACATAGGGGCGCCTAATAGCTTTTTTCTTACAGACCATTTATCTTACAATATCTCGAAAAACATTGCTTCTGTTTCAACAAAGGTCAGAATGACCCCTTATAACATTTGACATAAGTCATCAAACCATTAACATTTACTTTGATAAAGGTATTAGACCATCCTAACAATCAGCATGCAGTGTTTCACATTTGACATGAAATCTGGGTCTGTCCCCATAAAATTAATATATACTTGTAATTTGTCAAGTTGAAGTAAAAATTAAATCTTTGTCACAACACACGGCTAAATGTTATCGACATTGCATTAAAGCAGGATTTCATAAGACAGGTCACCTACACAGTATAACCTCGCTATTCCCGACATCCCACTCTACGGACAGCAGTTCTGAGCGTGTATAAGGGACGTTATTACACACTCAGTTAATCCGAATATTATTACAGGGCAACTACGTCCGGATTGGAAAGGGTTTTATTAAACGGAAATAAATTTCTTTCTAAAGTATTCTAAATTTATTATATAAATATATACACAAGAATGTAGCCGCGCTATCAATGAACGCCTATTACATGTGACTGCTCGATGTTTCACTGATAAAGCGGGTGTGGTGTTATTTCCCACAGCAACACAATACAACCTGCCCCAGCGCTGTGATTAATGAAGTATTATTGCTCAAATTACATAAATACCTTCGGCAAGAGAACTGCAACGACCCGCAAACAGCACTTATATATACTACAGAATGTTCAAGGTAAGTTACACATGCATATCTATGTTACTCAAGAAGGACCTAGCGACTCCAGTAATAGGCTGTGACCGGCTTAACATATATACTGTGTTAATCAGTTGCAACAGGTCTGTCAGAACTACGTACTTGAGTGTTAAAGGGGCATTACCTCCTAGTCATGGCTCGTTCAATGAACAGTTTATAGCGGAAAAGCGACATTTCATATTATAGGTAGAATATAGTGGGCACAATATAGTGGGGTTTTACCGGCCATAGTTCAGTGATTTTTAGTTGGGGTTTTCCTAGCACTGAGTAAGAACATCAGTGACAAAAGATTTTGAATGATTTAGAATTTTATTGAACCGTACCGTAGTTAATATAAATAAATACTACTGATTCAGCATATATAGAATGCAGTAATGGTTTTACCGGCCCCTAGTTCATGCCAGTAATTATTGTTGTCACCCAGCACCCCAAGAACATCAGTGACAAAAGAACACCCCTCTGATTAAGAGTTTTATTGAAGGTAGTGACATAAATAATACTGGCTGATTCAGCATATATTTGATATATGACAAATCATTTCACTACAAGTCATGTTCATTGTCAGAATTGGTGTTCTATGGGTTAATTCGGTTTCTGTGTTATAGCTTTTAAAACAGAATTTCAGTCAAATTATTTCAGTGTTCTATATATAAAGATAGGTACAAGGTAAAACAATATTTAACGTCGGTCGTTACAGGTAACAATATATCATTAGCTATTAAGAACACTTTTCCCGACAGAACAGATTACGATTACACAATTTAAGATCTACATGTGGATCTAAAACACAGACTCGATTATTTACAGACCGCCGCCATATAGCTGGAATATTGCTGAGTGCGGCGTAAAACTAAACTCACTGACTCACTCACTATGTCTGAAATTATGCCGATGCGACGTAAAATCTCAACTCACTCACTCACTCATCAGTCTCCTTCTGAATCATTGTCTATGATCTGCATCTTTCATCTCCAAGAAATAACCTCAGCCTGGTGCAGCTGAAATACCGTTGAGCACAACATTTAACCAAACTGACTCACTCACATAGCGGTTTACAGTTGAGGGGGTGTTTATCATGTCGAATAATAGCGCTATCAGTGCACCTGTTTATCTCGTTTATATCTAATGCTAAAGAGGTGACATCCGTTTACCTAAATGATTCATGCCTGTGGCTATATATTAGATATCTTCCGGCTTGACAAGTAAAATCAGATTATTTAGCAGCGAGAAATTTTATTCATGCCTTCAATTAACCCACTTTGACAAAATGAAACACGATAGCTCCTGATTAGGTTGCTAGGGTAAACACGGCGTTGCTAAGGGTCGCTGGGAGAAGACAAACGGTTAACATGTCAAGCTGCATACAACACGTCAATAAATAACGTCATATATAACATAACACATTAAATTTGAACACGGGACTGTTTTCTCAGACTGCGAGATATTTGAAAACTCAAACGGTCTCAAGTTACACAACAACGACACTTGAATGTAATCAAAGTCGCCACGTGTTGCGTGCCCCCAAATCTAGCCAGACTTCGTGGTGAAGTCATTCAGAATTGTGGGTTAGGGGAGACAAGTACAGCAAGGTATTTGTACTGCCATGCCGTTTGGAAGAAACAAGGAAGGACGGGTAGGAAACTAAATATATTTCAGTAAGGTTTTTTTGTTCACTGTGTTGATAACCATCTTGCTCTTAGATTCTGTATATACTGATGTCAAACGCTTCTAGTAAAACAAGTGAAAGCGTCCGTCCGTGTTGGTCCGGATAGACCACACCTTCCCAATTACCTGTCTGTCATGTATGCGTGTATCAGTGGATAGTTTAAGCGTTAATCCGTCAATGGGTGTAAATTGACTTCTTTGTTGAGGAAGGAGCCGTAAAGCCTAACCATCACCTTCACTAATCCGGAACCTTGTTAATACGAACAATTTCACGGCGCTTTCCGCCTTAACAGGATCCAGGGTGTATTTTTGTGAAAAAGGGGTAAGTCTGTTTGGAAGCTAATGCATTTACGTTTTGCTCCGTGGATGAACGCTCTGTATATTTCAATCGTAGCTATGTTTTTACCCGAATTACACTTTGCGTTATACTTGGTTCAAGGCAAGATGCACACACCCGAACTTTACTAATGCTTGGAAATGAAAATGTAATTCATCGGTCTGTATGTTAAACATCTGAGACAGCCGTAGCATGTGCCGTCTTGTGTTGAATGAATGAATGAATGAGTGAGTGAGTGATGGAGAAAGGGACGAACGGACGATTCGACAGACAGACAGAAGTCGGACAAACAGACATATAGATAGATAGTGAGTGAGTGCGGTTTTATGCCGCTTTTAGAATATTCCAGCAATATCCAGTCGGGGGACACCAGACATGGGCTTCACACTTTGTGCCCATGTGGAAAATCGAACGTCTTAACCACTAGGCTACCCCACCGCCCCAGATCGAAAAAAATAGATAAAGCAGTCGAAAGGCGCCACTAGGGGTATTGAACTGAGTCTGCGGGATAGGTACACAATAGCTGTCACAGAAAATATGCTGCCATTGAATGAGCTTGCCGACCTTCCACACTCATGTCTCGTGTCTCACTACAAGTAAAACCAATAACTTCAACATGGCTATGACCTCGCATGTCATCGTACCCGATCTATTGTCACGTAATTCTTGATTTGTGTGTCAGTGAACCCAGAGCTATTGAGCTATTGTCATGGTATTCCTGTTTTCTGTTTCAGTCTACCCTGTCGGGGCTAAGCGGGTGTTTTATGTCCACCTACAAGATCCAGTCCAACTACGTGTATTCCGAGAAGCACTTGCTCTATGTCGACAACCTCAGCAAAGTCGAGCAACTTCCGCCTCCGCATCCGCCATCTTGTCCCAGGGAAGACATCTTTGATCCGAAAGACTTTGTAGATGTTGACAGACGAGCTGACGAGGTGAGTTAGCGATGTGTGTTAATCCTCGGTGTAGTTACAAGCCTTAGCTACCAGCATCCGATGACTTTCAGGCGCGTAGCAAGCCAATGTTTTCGTGTAAGCCCGATAGGTTGCAAAGCTTTATATTTAGATAGTATTGAGGGTTTGCCCAACCTTTTTAGCAACAACCATGTGTAAGCCAGGCCTTTTTTTATAATGGTAGCTACGCCCCCTGACTTTACTGCAACGGAATGCTAGCCAAATATATAAAAAAAAATGTCACAGTGGATATTCTAAAAATAAATGTTTTGCTCCGCCCAAATAATTTGTTATGGTGCCCCAAAAATGTTTTTTTTTATGACGCCAGCCCACCCACCTACCAACCCACCAAACGATCGACCCATCGAACATAGAAAATGATTGGTCCTCATATCACAAGAAATAAGAATTTATGTTTTTCCGAATATCGTAAACTACATTTAGATCCACGCCAATGTTTTCCACCCCCAGGCACCCAAAAGCCTGCTGAAGGAACCGTACCCAAAGCTGATCGCCTACTTACTGGAGGAGCCTAAGGACAAGCCAAAGGACAAAAACCAGTCCAAAGACAAAAACAAGGAAGCCCTGACCAAAGTGCGCGCTATTTACAGATGGGTGACCGCCCAACACGTCGACACGATGGCCATGCCAAAGAAATCCCCCGATCCCATCACCCCCTTGTTTCAGTTCTGGAGGATCAAAAACAAGAAGGGGAACTTTGCTCAGCTTGTCAGTATTCTGTGCAGGTGAGCTACAGCTAATATTGGGACGTTGCCAACTCGAGTCAAAGTATTAAGTAATAACACTCTTACAACAATGACAACAACGAAGTAGTGATATGTGAATGCACTGTAAACTCAACATGTCAACGCCAGAGATTAATCAGTCACGATTCTCTTGGCTGTAAAAGGCGAAAGAGCAATAACAATTATTTGAATGGATCACTGAACATTAAAAATGTAACTGGAATATTTCTGACCTGTTTTGAGAAAAAAACACCCAGCCTCCCATCATCAACCCGGTATATGATCGGTTGCTTCTCCTCGCTTTGATTTGTTTTGGACAATCTCTACAAGATTATGTTACTGTAAAATATGTATATTTAAGGTGGGGTAGCCTTGTGGTTCAATATCGCTGAGGACGGTGGGGTAGCCTAGTGGTTAAAGCGTTCGTTCGTCACGCCGAAGGCCCGGGTTCGATTCCTCACATGGGAACAATATGTGAAGCTCATTTCTAGTATCCCCCGCCGTGATATTGCTGGAATATTGCTAAATGCGGCGTAAAACTATACTCACTCACTCACTCATTTCAATAGCGTTGAAGTCCTTGTGGAACCCGGATTAGAGGTGGTCGTAAGGGTCAATTTAATAGCAATCATTGGGTTGTCCAGTCTAGATTCGATATCTTATAAAACGTCGTCATACAGCTGGACAATTGTTTAATTCAGTGTTAAACAAGAAACGAAGAATTTAATGGATCAGGTGGTCAGTCTGGGTAGCTTGGTCAGTTGACACAAGTGTGGTCGTCGCTCATAGTATCAATCCCTAGATTATCTGATCAAGAATCAATTGGTCACGGGCGACGCTATATGGCTGCAAAATTAATCACCTTGAATAGCTACAAAAATTGCTGATGCGGCATTAGGAAATATTCTCTCACTGGACTATTGAACAACAAACAGACGAACAACCAATAATGGTGCATTTAATCATGCACGAATTGTTGAAATGAAAGCAATATCGGTAAAAGCATGTATTTACATTGCAGGCTGGCTAATGTTCCATGTGTGATCATCCACGGCAAGATGAAAGGTTCAACCTACGATGTCGGACAACCAGTAGACGAAAAGCTCCATTATGGTGAATGGAACGCCGTTCTGATTGATGGAGACTGGTGGCTGCTCAACACCTACTGGGGTGCATGCGCAGTGGGAAGTTCCGGTGGTGACGAATGGCTGGATAATGACACAAAAGAGGATTCGCTTGATGTAGATGCCCCGTCAAAGAAGGGATTCATGTTCACCTGTGACGAGAACTACTTCCTAGCTGACCCAAGACAGATCATCGCAACCCACTTTCCTGTCTGTCCACAGTGGCAGTTACGGCAAGTACCCATCACATCAGAGCGGTTCGAAGAGATGGCTTTCCTAAAGGATCGTTTCTTCAATCTAGGAATGTCAGTTCTCTCTCACAGAGACTGCGTAATAACATCCTCGACTGGAGAAGTGGAGCTATTCTTTGGATTAACAAAAGATGCCATTTATCATAAATACTACTGTTTGTTGTTTAGGCAGGAAGGGAAGACTGTGCAAGGATTTTCTCCAAAGTATGATCGGTATCTGTTGCTCCAGAGACCTAAATCCGATCAGCTCAGCATTAAAATCCGATCTCCAGTAGCAGGGACGTTTAGGCTGGAAGTTGTTGGCATGGACACCAGAATCAAGTCTCCGGGTTATGATTATGATTGGATATGTTTGTACAAGATAGTGTTCACGAAGGCCAAGGCACGATGTCAACCCTACCCAGATCAACCAGCTCTTGGATGGGGCCCAGGGTTGACCCTCAAAGAAGTGGGTCTGTCACCCATCTCTCACAGTAGTGGTATGATCAGGGCAGATTCTGGTGGAGAGGCGGAGGTGGAGTTCGCTATCAATGACATTGAAAAGCTGAAAAATATGAAATTCATGGGTCGAATTTCCAAAGGTGGAGTAAAAGAGGAAAAACTTAAGGACAGGGTTGTGTACCGAATTGAAGGAAATCGCGTCATCTTTAATGTCCGTCTGCCTAGAAAAGGGGAGTATGCTCTTAAACTGTACGCCACGAAGGGCGACAAGGAGGAAACGGATAAAAACATCTGTAATTACATTGTAACGTCTGACCAGAAGAAATCCAAGGATTCTTACCCAAGGGGATTTGACAAAGGAGCTGGATTAGGGAAGACTGGTGTCAACTTGGGCATTGAGCCCCTGTCTCACAAGACAGGTATGATCGTGACAGATGAGGATGAAGTGAAGCTGGACTTTCAGCTGACGAAGCCAGTGGAACACTCCTGTTCTCTTGTTGGGACAGGGTTGATGATCTCCGACTCTAAAAGGCTGGTGTCGGAGGAGGTAAACGGTGACATTGTCACCTACACAGTACGGCTCCCAAAGCTGGGTGATTATGGCTTCAAGTTGATAGCTAAGCCCTCTGAGGGAGGAGTATTTGAAAATGTCGTGGACTATGTGATATCATATGTGAAGACGGAAGATCAGACCAGGACGCCTATAATCTTCACCAACATTGAAACGCCAATAGAAACACCAGGACCGGAAGGTAAGGTATCATCCATAGAGATTCAGGACTAATGCTATTGAAATGCCTGAGGCATTCGGCCTTTCTTGTGTGGTCGGAGACATAGCTGTTACTTTATACCTAGTTGAGTGCTATATGTACAGACAAGGACAGAAATGCATCAGTTGCCTGTTGACATATTTCGTTTGACAGAAAAAGAAACGATATCGATATGTTGATATTGATATTGATACGACTCAGAGTCAGTACAATGTGCCAGAGTGAGGTATTCCAGACATAGAAGGTGGTTTGTGTGTTCGTGCAAACAGCCACACGTGCACGCACGTCTCTGTGTAGGTGCAAAAACATTGATCGCGTTACACCCCCAATAAAGCCCGAGTGGTCAGTGCTCGAATGGCCACCTTCCATGTCTGGGTGAGTTTCAAAGTAGGGGTCTGCTAAACTGCAGCATGGTATCACTGTGGGCTAGCCTTTTAACACTGGCTTATATATTCGTGGAAACAGCCACAGATGTTACAGTATGTCTCGGTATAGGTGCAGTAACATTGATCACGTTAAACTTCATGTATTATAAACAATCTGTATTAATTGTCTACCATTATTTTATCAAGAAACAAAAGAGGAAGCAATCAAGAAAAGGATGGACGTTGCCATAGTAACCGGGGATGAGGAAGAGCTAGTCAAAGCTATAGCTGAAATGAAGGAGGTGACTAAAAGTACAAAGTCACCATCGACACGATTCCCGACAAGAAATCATCTGAGAAGACACCAAGAGATGAAAACGACAATACCGACGCCAAGACACCGCGGAAGAAGAAAGGAACGCCTCGAGATAAAACACCTCGTGATGTAACACCAAGAGACGAAACAACCACATCTGATGAAAATGATAACACCAAAGTAAACAAGCTGGAGACACCACGTGATGAAAATTATAACACCGAAGCTAAGACACCGCGAAACAAGTTAGAGACACCACGACATGGCAAGACACCTCGTGATGAGAATGGGACACCCAGAAATGAAAAGACGCCACGTGACGAAACACCAACACCTCGAGATGACAATACACCGCTTGATTTCACCACAGTAATCGTCGATACAAATGATTCTGGAAGAACCAAGCTTGACAAAATCATTCCACGTGACAAAGAAGGAGAAAGTGTCCCCATCCCAAACGGTAATGCTGTGCTCCCAGCAATCTCTGTTGTGGCGCCGGCACCGGAAGAGGAACCGGAAGTGATAAAGGGCATGATTGAGGAAGTGAACGCCCAGGAGAAAGAAAGGGCAGAGCTAGCCAAGGAGGAACTTGCCCGAGCGGAACGAGAGCTGCAGATCATCAAAGTCAGGAAAGGTGTGTATTGCTTTAGAAATTCTGTAGTTTGTCCAGCACAAACAATGCATGATGTTATATAATGCTGCAATTATCTCATGGCATGGAACGCCATGGTTACTTACAGAACCCATGTTATGTAGAAGCTTATGGAATTAAGACAGAAAACGAAATTGATTTGCAAGGCATATATAACATGTGTGACGAATACTGACAGAATACTGATGAATAAGTCGTTGGTGTCGGTATATAATCTGCAAAAATAAAGTAGGTGAAAAATACTCACGGTTATTCCACCCGTTTAAAATATACCTACTCCTCCGGTGTATGATAATCAAGGGTTTAAACATGTCCCCAAACACCAATGCTTGTCGTAGGGGCGATGCTCGTTGACTTGATAGAAAACGTGTCATCGTGCACAAAGGTGCTCAAAGATGCTTATTACATTCCTCCGTTTGGCCTGTACTTGATTCTTTACAGGTCATCGTCATTAGATCGCATGGGCAGGGGTGGAAATAACTTTAAAATTGCTAGTGTACTCCGGTACAGTGGCACATGTAAAATCACTTCCCCTGATAATTTTCCACTATACCGGCCGTTTTCTTGTTTTAAATAAACAACATAATTAATATTGGAAAGTCAACTGGACACCGGTACAGTGTGATATACAAATTTGCTTGCCCGACAGAAAAAAACATTGGACTCGGGCGTCGGGCAATGGGTTATTTCCACCCCATTGGGGACGACTAAATCATTGTCCCATACAAGCTCAAACATATATTACTGCTTCGAAAACTATCAGTTCCAGCTGCATCGTGGCATACTTCAACAACGTCTTTAAACTGAAACCATTATGTAATAGACCCGTGAAGATTCGGGTTAGAATTGGTCTTCAGCAACCCATGCATGTCTTAAGAGGCGACTAATGGGGGTCAGGCTTGCTGAATTGGTTGACACATGTCATCGTATACCAATTGTGTAGATCGATGCTGGTCACTGGATTGTCTGGTCCAGACTTGATAATTTACAGACAGCCGCCATAAAGTTGAAATATTGCTGAGTGTGGCGTTAAACAACTACCAAACAAAACAACGTAAATGGGTATTTTCACAAATGTGTCTGTGTGTCATCAGAGTTAATGGAAGCTATTGCAGCACGTGAGCTCAAGCGTCTCATAGCGATAACGACAATGGTTCGAGACAAGAACTACCAGTCCGCCATGAAGGATGAGATTGTGAAGGCCAAGAGTCTCATCGAGAGGCTGCAGCACATTCAGAAACTGTGGCACGCCGTTCTGGATCTTGACCAGAACACTGTGGCTGAAATCAAAGGATATGCTGCCCCTCCTCCAGCCGTCAGCAAGGTGCTCAGCGCCACGCTGCTCATACTGGGCCATTTCGTAGAGGAGACGAAGGTACGGGACACCGAGATTATCAGCCAAGTGTGTTTCGTATCGTAATTGTCATGTCTTGGGGAAATTGTATGATGCGACATTGAGGTAATAATATCTTCCTCATGCAATGCTATTTAAAAATAAATTCATAATATCTATCAGATTCTTAAATTTAAAATTCATCATATCTATTTTCACTCACTGAAGAACTGGACTTAGTACCATACTAGGGATCAATATCAAAATCACAACCCTTTTCTTCCTCATTTCTCTGAACTGACGCATTGGTGATACTATGCCCAAAGATGTGTTGCACACAGAAGCGGCACAACGCCACACTAATTCATATGTTCACGTACCTTGCAGGAGTGGATCCAGGTACAGAACATTTTAAGCAAGACTGGGAAGGAGTCACTGAAGCGGCGTGTGGAGAAGTTTGACATCAACAAACTGGAACCCGACATCGCCATGGGGGCCAAGATGATCCTCAAAGACTTGACCCTCAACCAGGTCCGGGTGGTCAGTGCTGGAGCGGCTACCTTCTATGTGTGGGTGAGTTGTCAATGTAGGAGTCTATGAATCAGACAGGAGTGGTGAGTAAAGGGCTTCCACCTCTGTCTTGGCGCTTATGGGTCTCTGTATGTACATGTACTTGGCTTGAGCTTGTCTAATCTTTCACAAATGAGTCAAATTGTCTCCTTAATGAACCCAAATTAATAGCAGTAATGATGAAAGAAGGATTCGAACGAAGAGCTGTTCCTTATACTGAAGTCTTTTAACGGCATTTAGATGTGAAACACATAAAGGCGAGAATTTATGGATGTCAGATTCTTTATTTTGAGGAGCACGGTTTTTCAGAGTATATTATTCCTTCATCAGGTAAATAAAAACACTAAGAAACAGATAGCTATATATACTCTCCCAAAAAAGAAACGAACGAATAAGTCTCAGAATCTCGTGTTGCCCAATCGCAGCCCACTCTGCCTGTAGTGCCTGTGCGAGTTGCTGATGTGTCTGGGGCTGAGGGTTACGACGTCGCACCCGTCTGTCCAGGGCATCCCACAGATGTTCGATCGGGTTTAAGTCCGGTGATCTTGAGGGCCAGGGGAGCACATTGATGTTGTGGTTCTGGAGGAAGTCTCTAGTGTGACGTGCTGTGTGGGGCCTGGTATTGTCCTGGTGAAACAACTCCCTCTGGCGATCAATGATTGGAAGGAGGTGTGGGCGTAGGATTTCGTCACAGTACCGTTGAGCTGTCAGGTTGCCCTGGATCATCACCAAATCACTTCTCCTACGGCAGGTGATCGCTCCCCACATCATAACACTGCCCTGGCCGAATCTGTCCACCTGGGGAACGCAAGCGTCGGCGAAACGTTCACGTCAACGTCTGTACACCCGCATTCTTCCATCCCGTCATTCCAATAGAAATCGTGATTCATCACTGAACCAGATTCTACGCCAATTCGGTAGGTTTCAGGCCTGAACGTTGGTGCACCAATGAACTCGATGTCGACGATGTTGTTGTCGAAGCACAGGGCCAAAATAAGGTCTTCTGGCACGTAAACCAGCCTCTCTCAACCTGTTCCTGACGGTCTGTGCAGAAAGCCTCCTCAATCCGGGTATTTGTCGAGCGGTATTGGTCGCCGTAGCTGTTCGATGACGCAGGTGATGTACCCGGATGTAGCGATCCTGCGCCGCTGTGGTCGCTCGAGGTCGCCCACTACGAGGGGCATCTGCTACCGCATTCTGCCGGCGATATCTCTCCCAGAGCCGTGAAATAGTGCTTTGGTGAACATTCATGCGTCGGGCAACTGCAGGTTGAGACTGGCCAGCTTCAAGCAAACCAATGGCGATATGACGGTTGGCTTCACTTAGACGTGGCATTTTGCGTTCGTCAACAATATTCCAAATACAGGGAATAATCGACAGACAGCGATCAACCGTTTATACCCATCATTGAGACTATCTGATCCCCAACTGTCACGTGCATTGCATGTGAATTGTGTATTCTGTGACACTACACGCCGAAATTGAAAATCATGCTGTAAATACGGGTATTTTACGGATTTTACACCATAGGACTCATAAACAGAGCAAAACCTTTTGTAAAATGAATCACGTTTTAATTCATTGCTACATGAAATTGCTATTTTCATGATGCGTTTCTTTTTTGGGAGAGTATATGTACATGTGATAAAACAACAGTGATCAGATAACAAGGGAAGCCTTCACACTGAATTTATTGTATATTTTAAACATGACTTCTTTGATGGGCATTCTTTGAAAGGGTAGAGAAATTTGTGGCACATTTGTAAATTGGCCTTCTTCATTTTCAGACAAAGGGTCTGATTAACGAGATTGAGACCCGCATGGGCGAGGACATTAACAGCACCAGGCCCAGGACAAGCAGGTCCCGTAGAGCCCGGAGGCAGTCACATGCTCAGGGAAAACAGAACAAGTTATCTCCCTTGACAAGGGTGGATTTGTAAGGTTTGCTTGCGAGACGACCCCATTCTGTACTACCTCCTACACAACACTGATGAACACAATACAGATGAAGCGTCACGATTGTGTTACTCTTATATTTATACATAGACTTATGAAAATTTATGAATTTTTTTTGACAAGGTGTCAAGGCACCACATGTTGAATACGCTGAAACATCATAAACTGAATCTACTTGTCATCTCCAGTACGAGACAACGTTTGGCCATAGTTCTGATAATGTGTCTGCTAGAGGGCATATATAGATGATGATGTTTGAATTAATGAGGTTTCATTCCTTTACCATCAAGTGTGAGAAACACATGTGTTATTTCTAGAAGTGTCCACTTTGTCAACAAACCCATACAAGATGGACACCATCTTATTTATTTTATTCTGACGAGGCATAGCGTATCAAATATGCATATTTCATGTTGATTGTTTAGCGTAATTAAATCAGACATAGATAGAATATCATTTCAAGCAATAACATACAATAGTTACAACAAGTCCAATGCCATGCTGGACGCTGGACGCTGGCTGCTTAGTCAGTAATAGCTCGTAGTTGTGGTCTTTAACAGATTCGCTCGCTTAGATGGAGATTTTACGAGCGCTTCCTGCAGAGCTAAGTTTGCACTCGCGCGTATAATTTATTTATGTGACCTTGTGGGGTTCTTCAACTTTGTACGTTGTGTTGTTGGATTACCACAGTCTAAATAATTTTAGAGAAGCATTATATATCTATATATACATTAATCCGTCCATGAACTTTGTTATTTGCAAACTGATATTTGTTGACGATTTATGGTGACACCAATACTGTTATATTTTATAGATATTTTAATAGATATATTTATATAAATTTGTACCCAACAACCGTGATGTACTGTGTTTACTATTATTGTAGATGTATGGGTTTGTATGTTATTTCAGTAAATAAAGCTCTGTGTTGCCATATATGTATGTGTCGCTTTGTAAGCAAAGGATGTCCGCTCATTAGAAAGATCATACCTGATAGCCAGTTTTATCTTGAAGACCTATTCTGCTATCAAGATGCGATGCACCTGAAACGTACATATGGAAGCAACAGGTCACTCATTGGTCAAGTGAATAATATCACATCGTCAACATCTCCTTTATAGCACCTCATTCATTGTTCAAGATTTACCTTTTTACACAGGTTTGAACATTTATTTAGTTGAATCACACCGTCAGCTTTCTGTGAGAGAAAAGTCGAACGTAACACAAGCCGAACGCGTTTACCTCTTTGATGAAACCAACTGGTATGATACTGATTTCGAACCCACGATTACTGGATCCTGGCATGTCTGTGAAACACAATTACGCAAAGCCAGGGCCGCTGCGAAGATCACTGCGTCTTCTCCTAGGTTGACCTTTCCCAATTTCCTCACAAGCAAGAGAAACGAATCATTTTGTCTCATGTTGAATACCAAAAGATCCTTTAGCAGATCCGATAAAAGCTCATTCTGTACCGACAGGCACAGTGGAGTGTATTGAGCCTGTAGTCCACATTGCCTATGGAAGATATTGCCAAACTAAAGCCTAATATGCATATATACATACGTTAATGATACGATGACGTGCTATCAACCAAGTCACCAAGCCTGGGCATCACATCATTGCATGGTTGTACTACATGCTAGTGGTGATCCGATGAATCGAAATAATCGAAGATTGGTCGCAGTGACTAAACCACCAAGATATCGATCATGTTTTCTCATAATCGAACACAAACAATTCTGGAATACTTGTTTTCATAAACAATATTTTTCACAAGGTTAGTTTTGTCTGTTACATTTCATAAGCACTACAAGCGTTCCAAGTCATGATTGAATTTATCTTAAAGACACCAAGAGATTTATATTCCTAACATACTAGTCATCCTTTAAAGATGTGAAATTTTGCCCAAAACCCTAAAATAACTACATGTTTTTTTCCTTATGTTTTGTGCATTAACAAATCTCATAAATGACGCTAACCAATTATTGTCGATGATTGATCGGTGGTAATGAAACAATCATCAATTATGAGCTTTTAACCAAATCCCAACACTACTACAAGCATAGGTTGCTGGGGCAAATCTATCCAAAACATCTGGTAAACAAAAGAATCTGTGAAAGATAGTTTTTTCTTTGGGAAACATACTTTATTTCCAGATAAATATATTCGTAATGTGGCCTAGGTAAGGCCGCAGTTACACAGAAGCAAAGAACCTGCCATAAATTCGGTTCCAGTGCTAACTTGGAATGTTGCAAAATATCTTCCATCTGTTTCAATATTTTCAGGCACTGTTTCAAGACTATTACTTTGGTTATCAAAAAGAGCAACCAAGGTTGTTTTGGGTTTTTTTTAAAAAAAGTTTGTTTTATTACTTACATGATGTCAAACATTATGTGACTAGTGGGGCGTTTCTTGGTGTGTACCCTCTGGAACAAAATAAATTCCTTTAAAAATATTTACCCCTCACACCTCCCCTTTAATATGTCTGGCCTCTAAGAGATCTACGTAGGGGGATAGAGGCGTAAATGGAGTAGTAGCCAGCTATAACTGAGCGAAAATATTAAAAATTTTGTTGTCTGTGTTTAGATAGCCCAAGGGAGGAAATCAAGAAACAGACGAATGTTGCCAAGGTGACACGGAATGATGTGACACAAGTCAAACTTGCTGTGGCCAATAACAAAACCCTTCAAAAAGACAAGATTCCAAGTGACAAGAAGTCGTCTAAGAAAACTTCAAAGGGTGAAAAGAAGAATTCCAAAGCCCAGAAGAAGAAGAAGAAGAAGATAATTCAAATAGACGAAAATACACCATACAGAGAGAAGAAAACTAGCAACAGTGGCCAGATATCACGTGCTGCGACGACACTGACTGACGATGTCACATATAACACAGTCAGCAGTCAGGAGCATGGAGAAAGTGTCCCTATTCATTCTGGTAATGTTGTGGACTCGTCTGTTGCGGCTGTGCCACATGTTGCTGAAGAAGGAACCGAAAATAAAGAGGGAACGAAGGAGGCGGTAAGTACAAAGTCGTATCATAAAGGAAAAAATCCTAATAACAAGAAATCATCCCTGAAGTCATCAAATGGTGTTAGTAAGAATACTGACGCCAAGACATCACTCACTGGAAAGGATAAACCGAGAGATGACGAGGTGACAACAGTAAATGACGATAGAAGTGATGCAGCAAACCTCACCCCACGTGGCAAAGGTGGAGAAAAGCGCCATATTTCTAATCGTAATGCTGTGCTTCCGTCAATCTATGATGCGGCGCCGCATCATGAAGAAGACCCGGAAGTGGTAAAGGTCGTGGTTGATGTGGACACCCAGGAGAAGGAGAGGGCTGCACCTTCAGGGCCAGAATTGCAGATCGTCAATGCCAGGAAGGGTTTGTATTGCTTTAATTTTATATTTCATGCCAAAAAAATAAATCATTATTTGAAAAACGAAATGCTTTATCATGGCAGGAGAACTTTCAAAAAGGTCTTTGATTTTACCCTCTAATGTCAATGTTGCCTTTGTATCACCAAATGTCCTTAATCTGGTATTTTTGTTGGAGATCGATATGTTTTGCTGTCAATACATGTACTATTCATTTGAAAGGAGAAGCATTTCATTTTAATGAACATTTCTTCAGGATATGCATTTCAGTGTTATCGTTTTCATTAATATAAAGTTCACAAATATTTTGTCGTTTATGGCACATGGAATCTTATTAATCTTTGACGTTTCGCAAGATAGTCTATATATTTTAAGGGACAAATTACTATTGAAAAACCTGAAGCACATCCAGCACCACCCTGAAGACATTTCAGTCATTTATAATATGGCAACTGAACACGTCATGCTGTCAGTTAATGCAGTGAAACCAAAGAAATAGTCAAGCTATCGTTGAGAAAAAGCATACGAATGGTTATTTGTTTTTTGGCTCTTAGATAAACCAAAGGAGCAAATCAAGAATATTTCCATAGTGAAACAGGAAGAGGAACGAGTCAATGGAAAAGAAGACACGAAGGTATCTAATGGTGCAAAGTCACATGGCAAGACCTCACATGGTGTAAGTAGAAATAAAATCGCCAAGACATCACTTTCTAAAAAGGCATCACCAAGAGATGCCAAGGCATCCAACCATGTAAGAACAGTCGTTGACAGTATCAAAATTGACAAAATCATCCCACAAAACAAAGAAGGAAAACGGGTTCCTATTCCTGATAGTGAGGTTGTGCACCGGTCAGTTCAAGACGAAGAGGAACCGGAAGTGAAGAAAGGAGTAACTGATGAAGTGCCCTTTGTTCCTCAAGATGAAGAGGAACCAGAAGTGATGAAAGGCGTAACAGATGAAGTTGACGCCGAGGAGGAGGAAGGAACAGGGCTAGCAGAGAAGAAAGTTGCATCTATAGAGCAAGGATTACAGACCATTAATGTTAGGAAAGGTGGGTATTTCTAAAGAAATTCTGTCTCATATGCTGAGTAAGCATATAAATGTGACGTGCATAATGTTGCAGTTGTCTTTACCAAAGAACACCTTAGACATATATAATTATTGATTTAATTTATGATGATTTACAATTTTCATATATCTCATCACACATGTTACTTAGGACACTCGACATGTCCAGCAAACAATTGTAATATCTAAAGGACAGTTATTTGCTCAGTTTTTCTTCATTCCAAAGATATGGCATCGTCTGTCAATAGTAACTTAAGTGGTCAGATATCTTTGATCAAAATGAAAATGATGATGTTTGTGTGTGTGTGTTTAGATGAAGCACAGAAGGAAAATAAGAAAATGAGGGATGTTTCTATGGTGTTAAAGGATGAGGAAAACCTTGTCAAAACAAAAGAAGGCAAGAAGCAGGTGGTAAATAGTAAAATATACCATCAGAAAGAAACCATTCCCAGTCACAAAAAATCGTCTCAGGCAACCATACGTAGTGAAAAAGAGACTATTGACGCCAAGACAATTTGTGCCGAGGAGGAAAATCAAAAGACACGCCATGAAGAGAAGAATCTCCAAGGCCAAATGAAGTCTAAAAGCAAAACACTTGCTGGCACCGAGAATACAGACTCCAAGACATCTCTTAACAAGACAAGAACATCCATTCCAGCCAAAACACCACATGATGTGAAGACGGTAAATGACAATACAAATACTTCAGGAGGAGTGAAACTTAACACAATCCCAAAAGACAAAGTCGAAGAACGTCTCCAAAGAACAAAGGAACAGGAGAAACACATCAAAGTGATAGAAGACACGAAGAAGGTGACTAATATTAAGAATCCACATCGCAAAGAGAAGATTCCTCAGGGGCAAAAGAAGACAGCCAGGATATCACTTGATGAAAATAAGCGTACAGATCCCAAGGCACCACTCAAAAAGCCGAATACATTCCATGATGACAAGACTTTAAATGAAGTAACAGAAGTAACCGAAAATAACATCTCATGTGACGAAGACGATGGAGAAAGTTTCCCTAAAGTCGATAAAGTTAAAAAATGTTTGTATTCTATGACTATCGTGATTAGGCAATACATTGAGTGAAATAGGTAATGATATGAAATGATAAAGAATACTATTAATGGGGTCTCTGATTTCGCATTGATTGGGACTGAATACAATGTTCTGGGACTGAACCGTTTTTCTACATTAGCCCATGCAATCATTCCATCGTCAACCGTTTCACATCTGGTAGTCTTTCTTATATCGTTTTGGAGAAAAAACGAATCAGCACCAGTCCCTCATATCCAACACACTAAGAATATTAAACGTTTGTTCCAAAGCATCTCATATATTGGACTGATATAGTTATGGAGTAGTTAGATATCGTTTTTCAATCTCTCCAAATATTATCTTTGTGTTTAGATACTGAAAGAATCAAAACTGACAGCAGCAACCTACATCACAAAGAAGAAGGAAGCAGGCTCCCCGTTCTTAAAGA